TGTGGTCCGATTCTAAATTGTATTAGCATGGTTAGAAAAACCACCACATGAACGGAAGACGTATATTGACCTAGTAGGATCAGCCACTTGGCGACATGTAGCCAGTGCTGACAATCCTGCTGATCTAGGTACAAGAGAATGCAAAGCCCTGCATCTTGCCACCACCACCCTCTGAATTTTGGCCACAATCGCCCATGCGCAATAAAATTACACTAGAAAGTCGAAAAATCTACTCTTTTCACGCAACAGTGGATGATACCGACATCCTCGAACGATTTTAATTATTCCCCCGAGCCCTCAGAGTAGTTGCTTACATGTTCAAATTTATAGAGCATTTCAAAACTAAAGTCAATGGATCAGCAAACTCCCAATGCGATACAGTGACGCAGCTAACCTTACAACAGGCAAAGGTCGCTCTTGTCGTATATACTTAAGCGCGCTACTTCAGCCGCGATATATCACTATTGAGAGAATCAAAACCTATTGATAAGAGAAGTCCACTCCTAGTTCTAAACCCATTCCTCGAAACGAAAGGTATTCTTCGTGTGAATGGTCGGCTCGCCAATTCAAGCCTAACGTATAACGAGCGCCATCCCATAATTGTACCAGAGAAGTCTCGACTTGCCACAATGCTCATCAGTTATATCCACATATTAATGCTTCATGCCGAACATCGTCTCATGCAACATATGGTCCGCCAGGAATTTTACATTACCCGACTTAAGCCCCAGATAAAGAAGTGCATTTTCTTGTGCAAAATCTGCACGACTCATAAGCAAAAGATGCGAACAAAGATTATGACAGCATATTCCCCGGAACGCTGCAACTTGGCTCCGCCTTTCTCCATCACAGGTGTCGATTTTGCTGGGCCTTTTCATATAAAGGCGTCCATGTTAAGGTGTCCCACTCTGATGAAAGGCTATGTGGCTGTTTATTTTATGTTTTACCGACGACAAAAGCAGTACACTTTGAGCTTTGTACTAATCTGACAAAGGAGGCTTTCCTTGTGGCATTTGCTCGCTTCGTCGGACGACGCGGTTTTCCATCGAAGATAATGAGTGATAATGGTAAAACATTTATCGGCGCTCAAAGAGTCGCCGAAAAACAATTTGTGGACTTTATCAAACAAGTCTCACCTGAGATTGTACAAAAGTACGCACCCCAAGGCATTAATTGGCAGTTTATCCCCCAAGCGCTCCTCATATGGGTGGTTTATGGGAATCAGCTGTTAAAAGCTTCAAATCCCACTTAAAAAAAGTAGCTAGAAATTACAAATTCAATTACGAAGAATTCACTACATTATTAATTCGATTTGAAGCCGTTCTCAGTTCACTTGCTCTCCACCCATTCTGGCCATATATGAGCCAGGCGTGGAGTCGCTATCCTTATTAAATCGATGGGAAAGAATTAAAATACTACATCACGATTTCAGCCGCCGATGGAAAGAAGAGTGCATAAAGGATCTCCATAAAAGATAACGTTGGAAGACTACTGAACAAGCGCCAAAGCTTGGATATTGTGTCATTATTCATGATGATTGTCTACCCCTTACCGAATGGCGGCTTGGTCGCATAGAAAAGCTACATTACGGCTCCGACGGTCATATAAGAGTAGTTGATCTCCGTACCCAAAGCGGAACGTTAACCAGACCGCGATAAACGATAAAGCAAGTGATAAACGATAAACCGATAATAATCCCGAAAACGTAATTCATAACCGCTTCAATAAATCGACAAAAAAAAAACGAAAAGACAATAACTCCTAAACTCGACAACAAAGCGTATATATAAGTATATAAACTAAAAAGTCGATCAATAGGACGACCCCTTCATGCTACCAAGAGTTGTAGAATGCCTATTTCAACTTATATCTTACAACTTTATAAAGCCCAATAATCTTTTCTACACAGATAACTATGGACGCAGATGCACCTATGCCAACGCCTGCTATTCGGTCAGCTATCAATGTGCCGCAACCTGGGGTTACTCCAGCGCTCCTAGAAGTGGCGCGCGACCATCACCAACACCAAACATGGAACCGCTGCGCGTCTGGTGCATCATTTGCTGCCGCCCACACCGACTAGAACACTGCAACATTTTTAGGGGCATGCAACCGATGCAACGCCAGCAAATTTCCCAGGCTCATGGGCCTTGTCTCAATTGCTTGACAGCGGCACACAATACTCAGGAGTGCACAATACTCTAAATGACCTATAAGCCTTCCTATCCCTATACAAGCACCACACACCACTTCACAAGCAACACATACATATACATACAGATACATTCCAACACACCACAACATTATCATTCACTCCCGAAAATACCACACATCAATACATGCAACTTCACACAACTCACCGAGGGATACCAACACACACCACACTCACAACCTCACCACTCTACCCAGCCAACAAAAGGGATCGACGACTGCATACGGGCCCTTTTTTCGATTGATCGCCGTCGCAAGTGCATCAGCCGAGTCCTTTTCTGCGCCACCCCGGAGACCTACACCGTTTTGAAACCATTTTATAATTTCAAAGGTTTTTAATTCTGTAAATCGATTTTGTTTAAGATATTAAATTTGCGGATTTGAAACACTTTATATACATAGTTATATTTATTCTTTTGATTCGGGAGCAAGTGGAAGTGAAAGTGGTCAGTGTTTTTGGTGCAAATTAGCATCAAACTAATTAAAAGGTTTCAAAAGAGCATAATTAAAGAATATAAGCCGAATTAAAGAAACTGCAAAAAAGTTCCGCTAATGCAGAAATAATAAATAACCGCCAATAACAATAACGTATATACAAATATCACATAATAATAGTTTGTCAAGCCAGAAAATTCATATTAGGGGCCATCTATAAATTACGTCACACGAATTTCAGCCCTTTTAACCCCTCCCCCCATTCTTGTCACAAGTTGTCACATTGTGAAAAACCCCTCCCCCCTGACGTGACGTCACACATTTTCCAATTTTATGGATATCTTATATTTATTGAATAATCTTTAATAAAATCAACATTTAGTTATATTCAAAGTATAGAGACAACAAATGACTAGTTAGAAAATAATAGACACTTACTTATACTATTCAAAAATATAAAACTTAATCATATTGTGTCCATGGACTTTAGACCCATTCCTTTATATTATTTATTACTGGTAAATCAGGCACTTCATTTTCGTTCTGAATATGGAAGTCAGGAACATCCTTCGTATCAACATCGTTTTCTTCCATCCATAAAGCATCGTCATCATTCATTTAACAGAGAATTTCTCGACACTAGGAAAGTAACTATCATATGGAACTTGTTTCAGATGGGATGATGCTCGGAGATTTATTGTTTATTAGCACTACATTTCTCATTTAACACTCAAAATGCTGAATTCTGTTATTTTGCGCTCCGCAGAGGTAAAACTCTGGTGAAACCCGCTTATAACCTTTGTGGTAAAATCCTCTTAAGTTGGTCAGTAACCCTCCGTCAAGCGGACCATTTTGACAATCGGCACACCATGAACCTACTCTATGATACACGTTCTCTTGTCTTGCAAACAACCTAAGCACAGGCAGATAAAAAAATGAGCAAGCACTTGCCAACAACTAAAACCTACCCAAATCTTTACTACTGAGAACTCTCGTAAAATTTAGTGGGTTACTTGCATTACAACACCGTTCTAAACGTTGAATGCTGCATGAGACATAGTTTCATGGTCAATGTACTTAAGTAATAAAAAATAATGATCGCGTTTGTCAATGTTTAATATTTTTTTGTTTACCTATAAATTTTGCGTTTGAACATCATAAATTTTGAAATATGATGTCACAAAGCTTTTGACCCTTCCTACCGCTTGTCACACAATGTCACATCCGACAATTTTTAACATACTACAAAAATGATGAATGTGGATAAAAATCAAAAAACACCTTCAGAAGATACACGCTCAAGACAGGTTGCTACAAAGCAAATAAAAGGCAAAGATTTAACCGCCCCCAAATTCACTTCTGAGAGAGACAGTTTAATACGACACTGCACTCGATTTTTATCTTCACCGATCCAAGACAACTCTGAATCGTTATTAGAAATAAAAAAGCAAAATCTTAACACTTTTTGAACTCGCCTCATGACGCCATAGTAGAAACTGAGTCATCAGATTTACCAAAATATTTTAAAACCTCGGCTTTCGCCAAATATAAAAAAATATAAAAGCTATTGCACCTACTCCACATCCGGCGGCAAGTTCCGGCATCCACCTCGAGGTGCCCGCATGTGACACAGAAACATTTTATAGAGAATATGAAGAATGGCCGTCCTTCCGGGATATGTTTACAGCCGTTTACATCAACCATTACAAATTATCAAGAGCGCAAAAATTGTTTCACCTCCGATACAAAACTAAAGGTCAAGCAGGCGTAATAGTAAAAGAGTTCGCACTAAACGACGATAATTTTAAGTTGGGGAGCTCTTAAATCTAGATATGAAAATTAACGAATATTGGTCGATAACCAAGTAACGATACTAATGAACTTGCTTTAGATTCAAAAGGTAACAAGTGAAGAATTTATAAAACTGCAATCCACTGTTTCTAATTACTTGTAGGTTCTATCGAGACAAAATATTCTCACAGACAGCTGGCACCCAATACTGATAAATATATGCAGCTTTACCAGAAAAATCTTTACTTTTGTGGAAGCAATCGCTCTCATCACGAAAAAGTGCCCAACGTGGCAACAAATGAAAGACTTTCTAATTACCCAATACGAAATCACAGAGAGGGTATACAAAAAACTAATTAAAAAAAAAAAGCTTCAATAGACCCCAGGCTAGAAGCAAAAACTATTTAAACTAATCAAACAGAAATTTTTACAAAACACAATCGTACACATCCGAATAGAAAAGGCATACGTCATGCAAATTATGCACAAGTATGTACAAATTACTTGTCACATGCGCCGCACAAACCGCCACCTCGCCCGGTTTCATAATCATTGAGAGAACCGGTGATATGTCCTACAGCTACATTTTAAGGACGGTTAGGAAAAATGACACACTGCAGAAACTGGGGAAAATGTGTAAAAATTAGAAAGGCGGCCAAAGGACAATTCTTGCTTGAGTTAAAGGAGGCTCAAATGAAGACCACGGGAGATTTCAAGATGAAATAGGGAAAGTGCTAGGAAACCAAGCGCAGATAAAAGCACTAATCCATGAAACAGTGGAAGAAATACGAGATCTGAACGAAATCACTAGCAAACAGGACATAGCCGACGTTATACGCAGTCAAATAATAGAGATGAACCAGTTACACACAAACCCGATTAGGAACATCAGGGCGTCATACCGAGGATATCAAACTGCGGTCATAAGCCTACCTGCGCTGGAGGCAAGGACGCTTCTGGACGCACATAAAACTAAAATATGCTGGGTAGTGTGCAGAATAAGAGCGAATTAAAACTTGAGGAGGTGCTTCAGGTGTCTCCAATATCGGGACTGCATGCAATAACTACGCCGATAGAAGCCAGAGTTGTGTCAAGTGTGGAGAAACTATTTTTCAAAGTCATGCGACAAAAAACCGTCGTGTAGCGTGAGTAAGAGTAAGGAAAGGGAAAACACTGACCACCAAAGGTAGTAAGAAATGCCCCCTGTACCAAGAAGCGTGCAAAAAAAACAAAAAATGAGAGTCATGCAACTAAACTTCAACCACTGCAAAGCTGCACAAGAGCTCCTTAAACGGACTGTATACGAACAGAAAGTCGATGTTGCTTTACTCAATGAACAGGACAAAAACATAAGCGATGGAACATGGATCTCCAATTGCACGAACAAAGCTGCCTTATGGGCATGTGGAGGAAAAGCTTTCCAAGATAAGCCGCTGTTAGGGAAATCCTTCTACACTCGAGCAAAAATCTGTGGGGTCAACTTTTACAGTTGCTATATCCCACCAAGCGTATCTCAAAATGATATTTAAAAAATATTGGCTGAACTGGTGAGAGAAGCGCTAACTACCACAATGAACCCTGATGCGGACAGCAAGCTGGCAGGTGTGTGACCTCTTCACTCACAGTGACCGGGCACCCAACCACCCAAAATCGAAGGAGAACGCTCGCAAAATGGTTACAAACGTGAGGGTGAAAGGCCGAAGCCTTAGACGAAGAACTAATTAAGCTGTTGCTAGATGGCAACATGAGTTCTGCGGAAGACGCAGATCGACAGGCGGAGATGCTGGTAAGACTTCTACATGCAGAAGGAAAAGTGGAGCCTACATAAAACCCGTATACTGGTGGAGTAATGAAATAAATACCCTAAGATGTTAATGCCATAAAGCAAGGAGGAGCTGCCAAAGGAATCGGAGATCAACGGAGCATACGGAACTACGCGAATGCTACAAAAGGAAGAGCAATGCCCTTAAAAACAATAAAAAAGAGTAAAGCATGTGGCTTCAAAGAACTTTGTGGAAAATCGACGAAAATCCGTGGGGCGATGTTTACAAGATAGTAATGTCAAAATTAAAGGCGGCAAATGGCAAACTAGAGGTGTCCACTTAGAAATTACATCGATGTTTTTTATATATTATATATCTATATATATATCATCGTCACACTTCGCCGTTTTCCAGCACATGTGGACTAATTTGTGAAGATCATCTCACAAAGAAAAATGATCTTCTGGTTTGTCAGAATGATCTGAAGAATCAGATTCCACTGTCTCATTGTGTTTTGTAGTTGTCATACATGTTTAGACTTTTGCCACAGCTGAAGAGCAAGTAATTAGGTCCGTAAAATGCATTTTTTTAACCTTGGATCTAATACCGTGGCTATAGCAAGAGGAGACACTTTTTCTAAAACATTCATTCTTTTGTCAATATTTTTAAGAATCAGCGACTGCAAGCTCTCTTTGGCAAGAGATTCTTCGAGTTTAAAAGGTCTAGTTTTTAATAGAAGGCAATGGATAAGTGGTATTACCTTGCTGCTAGTACAATACTTATCACCTGACACTTCTTTGGTTGCAGCTTCGACCGGTCGCAGAACTTGTAAAACCGAAGAAAGACTTGACAGTTTTAATGCAGTAAGCATTGGTGGTGCATTTTTGTGACGAATGATTATGTCATTAACGATGATGCGAAGCTCTAAAAATATTTCGATCATATAATATGTACTATTTCATCTGGTCGGGACCTCTTGAATCAATTTAGTTTCTTTCTGGGATAATTTACGTAATTCGTTACTGGCTATATTGCTTTGTTTAAACCATCTTTGACTTTGGTTATCAAGTTTCGTATCAAGTTGCATACAATTTTGTGCCACTAAATTGAAAGTGTGGGCAAAACATGGAATATGTTTTTTGTTTCAACAACCTTTACAATATTGGCTGCGTTGTCTGTCACTACGGCCGAAATTTAATCTATGTCAAAACCCCATTCAGTACAGGTTTTAGCAGCATTTCAGCAATGTGTTCTGAAATTCATACGTTCATCTGACTGGTACACTTCAAGAGTAATTGAAATTAGTTCATTACCGACACCCTAGTGTGCTGTTATTCCTAAAAATCTTCTCATGCTCATTGTTTCAGACCACATATCAGTAGTTAGAGTAAGGTTTTCAGTAGTTGACAATTTTTCTTTGAAAACTGTTGAAAATGCTGCGTATCTATCATCAACGCATCGAGTCAACGTCGTCTTACTAGGAATTTTATAATGCGGCACAATAACTTACATCAAATTACGAAAGCCTTTAAGGCATTATTTATTTTTAATGTTTTATCACCACTTGCCGAAAACGCATAAATTTCTTAAAAACTTGACATGATAGACTTTTAACGTTTTGGCGCTGGAGGAAAAGAAATGTATTCATTGTCTTTTGAAGAGTTAGGTATTTTATCGGCTTCTTTAGTCAATTCCATTCCATCAGAAGAGCTCGTTGACGGTTGTAAAGCAGCAACTGTAAGGCCTAATGTGTATTTTTATTTATTGTATTAATATTGGATTTTTTCGAACTTTCATTATTAAAATCCCGAAAAGCGGGATGCCACAAGATTTGATTACCTTTTGACAAAGCCTACATTTCGCAGAGTTACTGTCTCCTTAAATTTTAACGTTAAACTTCCATACGCCACTCTTCTTGGAAGGTGCCATCGCTTTGTGTCTTGAACCTAAAAATAGTTAATTAATTAAAATAAATGAAGTCAATAAATTCATCAATCGATAATATTATATCACATCACTAATCATCGCTATCTAAAAAAATATAAGAGTTCTAACAATTAACAGTATCAAGACTGACAAGTTACTTTTATACACAGAATGTCAAAAAATAATTACATTTGAATAGATGATATTTTTATGTAAACATCTAATTTATTGATTTCAGCCAAATTGTTTGTTAACTTATTATCAAATTTGTACAATTTGACGTATGTTTTCGCTGAAATTTATGCAATAAAATATATATAAAATCTGTCAAAAATTGTCTTACAAATAACAAAGTATCTATTTATTCTGTCAATCAGTCAATTAAGAATTATTAACTGTCACTCCCTTTTACGTGAGAATAAATGAGTTATCCTAACCCTACTTTATTACTTTACTTACCTGCCGTATCGATAATATAAAGAAAAAGCCATAATGAGTATATGATATCCAACTCCAATCTTATTTGTTTTATGGTATAACACACTGGCAAATTCACGAATTTCATGACACCACGAAAAAAATGTAATTTAAAGTTTTATTCAGAGATCATCGAGACCACAACAGACCAGAGACAAAGCAAACAAACACTATTTTTTCTCTCACGCGTAATCAGTGTTGTCAATGTCAATTCTGAGATTCTGTCTCAACGGCCGACAGCAGCCAACTAGCGCCACCAACAAAAAAGATAGTTTGATTTTATAACTTCTAAAGTATAAGAGATTAAAAAGAAGAAAGCAGTAATAAATAGGAACAACAATATTTATCTGGTTACAATTTATTCGATGTTTTATGAAAATATATCGATACATCCACTGAATTAACCGTTTTTCAAAACATCGGATCGGTTCGATGCATCGATGTATATCGAATATCCCTAGGGCAAACGACGACATGCCCTAAGCTATTAAAAACCGTCGTGGAAACCCAGCACAGTCACAAGAGAAACTACAGGCTCAAGAAGAGGGACATGTTGAAATGGATGTAATAACAGTCAACGACGGCACAGAGATTTGGTAATGCTAAAGCGCCAGGCCTGGACGGCATTCCCAATAAGATCTTAAAGTTTGCCATCAATCATAATGCGAAGCCATTCACAGAATTGTTTACACAATGTCTTAGGAAAGGTGTTTTCTTGAAAAATTTGGAAAAGTCAGCGATTTTTCTTGTTATAGAAGCCCAATAAAATAACCGGCGAGCCCAGCTCTTATCGACCTCTTAGCATGCTGGATACGCTTGGCAAGATAATAGAGGGGATTATCTGTGTACGATTAGAATCGCACTTAGGAAAAGAGTACCAGAGTCTCTCAAAATCAATACGGATTTCGGAAGCGGAAGTCTACCGTTGACGCAATAAAAAAAGGTCAATGATATCGCTGGCAAGGCAATTGAAGAAAACAGATAAATGTATGGCCCAAAGGAGTACTGCGCAGTGGTAACATTGGATGTACAAAATGCATTTAACTCGGCTTATTGGCCTCGTATAATAAGCGCCCTGGAACGTAAGGCTTACCTAGTGAAAATTGTAGCCAGCTACTTGTCAGATCGAAAGTTGCTGTACGATACCGATGATGGACCGAAAAAATATACGGTTTCGGGTGGAATACCACAGGGTTCGGTGCTCGACTCACTGTTGTGGAATGTACTCTACGACGGTGGGCTGTGCCTTCCACTACCGAAGGAAGTGCAGATCATCGGATACGTGGATGACATTACGGTAACAGTGGTAGCAAAAGACTGGATCAAATCCCGAGCCTATGTAATCAGACGGCATCAAAAATCAAAGATTGGCTCACTACAACAAACCTCCAGCTTGTTGGACAAAAAAACTGAAGCAGTACTGATTACAAACGGAAGAAGCTGGAAGGCATCACACTTACTATCAGCGGCGATAGCATCACGACTAAGCGTTCATTGAAGTATCATGAGGTAACTTATTGACACTAGACTTAATTATAAGGCGCACATTGACAAAGTCTGTAAAAAAGCGACACTTGTAGCGGCGGCACTAGCGAGGATAATGGCCAACATCGGTGACCAAGTCAGAATAGGCGTGCGCTATTGGCCAAGGAATAAATCCTATAACAAGAAAGCTAAATCCGTAATTCGGCTCGGTGCCATTACAGTCACCTGCGCATTACGCACAGTATCACACGAGGCAGCGGGTATCATACCACCGGACATAATGGCCATTTAAATCAAAAGAGTTTACGATAGATCCAAAGGTTTAGGAAGGCGACTAACGGTTGCAGAGCGGAAAGATGAAAGGCAAATAAGCATCACTGAATGGCACAAACAATGGGACATAGCAACGAAGGGAAGATGGAATCACAGGCTTATTGGAAGCGTGCAAGCATGGGTAGAAAGGAAACATACAGAAACGGATTTCTACCTGACGCAGTTTTTGACGGGGCACGGTTGTTTCAGAGAATATCTTACAAATACGGCCATGATGACAGAGCAAATTGTTCCTTCTTTGACAGTAGCGGAGAAAGCGTGCAGCACATCTTCTTCTCCTGCCCGAAGTATGGAAATGAGAGAGCAAATTGAGAGAAGCTAATAGCGGAGCGAGTGACGCCAGATAACCGTTTGAGTCACATGATTAAGTCGAAACTGATGTGGGATAGAGTAAGGGTGTGGTCTGCGATAGTTTCTGCAAGAACTAAGAACGAAAGAGTGGCAACGGAGCGAAAGTATAGGGATGAACGAGAGATAGGCCTGAAAGGCGTGACTGATGAGCCGGATGGCTACGCTTGGCCTCACGATGTAATGCCTGACGGTAGTTCCGTGGGCCATATACAAGCACTGATGATAGAGTTAAGGGTTTAGTACCTAGGCGCGTTGTTCCGAATGAGGTGAACCCTTAGCGGACAACTCGAATGGTTCATGTTTTTGCCCTAAAAAATTACTATATCTTGGAAGATTCCCCCTCCAAACACACAAAAAAAAATACGCATACTCATAAAGAATGCAAAAGTAAATTCAATTGCATCTCTTGTAACAAAAGATACCATTCAGTGCTTCATTTTATCAAATTTCCCAGGCACGGTTTTAATTGCAAAAGCGTCCCGAAAAACGAAATCTTAAAAACTGCCAAGAGACACCATGTTGCTCAAAGGCACAAAAATCTCAAACGCCTCACAGCGAAATACAAAATTGGGTATTACTCCCCACAACATAGAACACCGAGAAGAACTGTTTAAGCTAAGGGCCTTAATAAACAAAGGATCACATCGATCTTTCATAGCGTCTAAGGCACAAAATAGGCTACAACAAAACAAGCCAAATTTGAATTTACAGGAATAGGCGGAAGACTAGTTCAAAACTCTAATAAAATCTGTCCCATTACCCTGATTTCCCCCAAGCGGATAGAAGATTTCAAGCAGAAGCTATAACCTTACCTTAACTAACAAATATGTTCTCAAGCTATCATATAAATAGCAAGCATTGGGAAAGGGTTTCACACCTCAAGTTAACAGATCCCAACTACAACACCCCCGCTCAAATAGACATTCTATTAGGTAGTGATCTCAGATAATACTCGAGGGTGTTGAGAAAATTTCGAAAAACTCTTGGCACAAACTACTATTTTTGGTTGGATCCTAAGTGGACTAGTTACGGAACCAGTTACCACCATGAAAACTCAAGTTAAGGACTGGAGAAAGTTTTGGGAGTTAGAAGAACTTCCCCCCCATTTCAATTACAACCCCAGAAGATCAGTATAGTGAAGACTTTTAGAAAGTCACAAGTACTAGGCCAGATAATGGCCGGTACGTCGTACGACTACCATTAAAGCCACAATTTTCCAACACTCCACACATTGGCACAAAAAACCAAGTCAAAGCTTGTTTTTTGGTCACAAGATGTCATAATTTAAACGCATTATTCAAGCAAAGTTTTGCTCCGATACAAACATTGTTGCTTGATTTGCATAGTGGAAAGTGAAAGAGTCAGGTGGATTAAAATTGTGCTAACTGGGAAATAGGTGTGGTTCTAATCCGATTCCGCCCAATTTCGCGCTATTACATAGAAGGATGCGAAGAATGTTAAGTACCGAATTTAGTTGAAATCGGTTAAGCTGATCCCAAGATATGAGCTATTATCTAAAAGTTGGTGGTGCCACGCCCACTTATACCATCCCAGAGATAAAATTTAATGTTTCTGGCGTGCTAAGTGCTTTAATTATCGCGCTTTTAGTAGTTTTTAGCCGTTCCGTTATAATGGAAGGCAGGGGTGGAAACAGAAATTATTCTATGCAAAAGTTCTTATAGAAGAAAACCCTAAATGGAATGTTGTAATAAATGAGGGAAAAACTGTAAGCTTTTCCTTAACCAATGAAAACCCCTCTTCATTTCTATAATAGTTACACTCTCGGTTTCTTTATATGTATTGTATCGTAATATAAAGGCGTGAAGATTAAATCGCTCTACTGTTATTGAACAGTTTACAACAGATATTGTAAATGAACTCATTTCTTCCTGATCTACCGGACAGCCAAGTTAGCAAGAAGAAGGACTTGAAACGTAGCCCTCAACACAAGAAGGATGATCCTAAAAGTCCGAACAGAGCATCGTCAACGACAAAAAGCCGGACTGGAAGAAATTGCTATCGAGAAATGAAAAGAGGGAGATACGTAAAAACAGCCCTTGGAAACATCAGAAGTCTTTGCAAAGCCAACACCCAGAAAATCGCGAAGATCAGCTAAGAACGGAAGCGTTGATCATTTGCCCAAAGGAAAAGGTGATGTATGCCGAGATACTCTCTAGGATCAATACGGCTTTATCCAAGACCAGGTCGGTAACACCGTGGAAAACAGAGGCTGGAAATATGCTCATCACGCTCTCAAAAGAGGGCGATGACAAGGCCATGCCCTGAAGAAAATATTGCGGATATTCTTCAACACGATGTAACTGTCATTAGCAAAGATCTCGAAATAATTGATCTTGATGATCCGACGTCAAAACGACGTGCAGGTAGCCCTACAAGAGAAGGAAAGCTGGAGATGGTGCGAGATACAGAAAGATGCCATCAAAATCCGTCCAGCCTACAGAGGCACTCAGACAGTGCTAAAGACACTGCCAGCAGCAATAGCGGAAAAAGTTCTTGAAGAAATAAGCAAAGTCAGGATAGGGGTTAACTGCAGGAGTAGAACAGTAAAAGGCCACGACGATGATTCAAATGTTGGCCCTATAGACACGTCGCCGCCAATGCTTGAGTGAAGTTAACCGATCGGAACTGTGCATTAAGTGCGGCCGAAAAGGGCACCAAGTGCTAGATGTCCAAACACGGCAAACTGTTTGCTATGTGCTGAAAACCCGTCCCAACGGATATAACTCATCAGGCCGGCTCTAATCGATGCCCGATTTTTCAAGAGGCACTCAGAAGATAACGGACAAACGAGCATGAAGATACTGCAGATAAACATAAATCACTGTGAAGTTGCGCATGACTTACTTATGCAGACAGTACGGAATTAAAGCTTGACCTTGTGCTTATATCGGAGCCATATAAACACCTCATGACCAACCATGGGACGCGGTCAAAGCTGTCATGTGGTAATCTCCACTTCCAGAGCGTAGTCAACAATGGCAGCGCCGGCTTTATAGCGCATCAGTAGATGGCATTCGTTTCTAAGCTGCTACGCACCACATAGCCTCCATTGTTGAATTTGTTTACTTTCTGGACCGACTCGCCGAGGATGCGAGACAACATCAACGGACAACACCAACGCACGAGGAAAGCACTACTAGACGCTTTTACTGCA